TTCAAACAATTGTATTAATTGTTTTATTATAACTATAATTACTATACATCTAAAATTTTTAATTACAGTTACTTAATAAAACTACATGAAGCAGTTTCTGGAATTCTCCCAGTAGTTGAAGTACAAACTTTATATCGTACAGTAAATACATCTTTCAAAGAAAAACTTAGAGAGCAATTAGTCAAAATGAATATAGTAAATAACGGTGGTCCACAACACGGTGTAGTTACGTCTGAACTTACATTTTACCTTGAAGCACTGCGAAAATTAAAAGTGTTACCAACTAATGAATTAGATGACAATTGGATGAGTGATATATGGACCAGATAACATGCAGAGCGTGTGATATATTGCATAATAGAAGCGATGAAATATTGTAGAAAAAGGTGACTAATCTTTATTACAGTCTTCCTTCACATATGTTGCATCTCATTATTAACATTTTGATGGATTTTTAAAAATGTGGCTTGTATTGAAATTATCCATATGAATATTTATAATTATTTTATTCGTAAAATTGTATGGAATGCAAAGTCGATTTGGTAATATTAATATATATAAGAAATTAAGAAACAGCATTTTTATAAAATGCTCTGTTTGATATTTTGAAAATATGTGTAAATGATAATCAGTTCTATTTAAGAAATATAACATTACTTGTATTGGCTGTTGACATTTTAATACAAATTATAAATTAATTCAATTATTAATATTAAATTACACATATTTTATATCTCCCAAACACTCTTACACGCCATAGTGTTCAAAGATAAAATTTCATACATAAATGAATAATATGAATGAATTTGTAAAAACACAAAGTAATCTATATAAATAGTAGAAAATTATTTTCTTCCATACCAATAATATTAAATATAAAAAACTTATTTGCAATTGAATACAATTGTAAGCATGTCAGGAATTTGTTGTTGTCACTTATAAAATAATTCAATTTAGCATGTGTGCAAAATAAGCATGTGGTAGAAGGACCAAGACAGATATTAGATTACTTGTTGATTTGTTTGTAATTCTTTATGTGTTAATTGTATATCTTCTCTTTCAAAATTAAATCTTTTTTTAACTAATACAGAATAAGATATTAAAAATGTTATATTTTGTTAATGAAAAACCTATAAAATGCATATGTGGTAAAATATGACTGCTTTTATTGTTGTGTTCATTGCTTGAACTGACTATAAAAAAATGTATTGTCAGATAGATTCTGACAATGATTATTTAAACATTTTTATATATAATGTACTGTTTGCACTAATCTGTTTTTATTGACAGATTATTGAATAACTAAAGTTTCTAAATAATAAGGATAACTTGTTGAACATATTATTTACTAGAATATATTAATATGGGGATTTTTATCAAAGTTTTTGAAATGCCCTATCTCTCATACTCTTTTGTGCATATGAATATATATGTATATGCAACAAACATGTGCATTATAAAACTACAAAAGAGAAAAACCTAATAATAATTTACAAAAAAAAGATAAAAAAGACAAAAACCAATAATAATTTACAAAAAGATAAAAAAGTAATGCTATTGAGTAATATACACTATATGCTTTTAGTTCTATTTAAAGAAATGGAAAGACTATGAATCATAGTTTAATTAAAGTTTCTACAATAGATTATAAATTAATTTTAACTTCATTACCAAAGATGAAATTATTAATTGTTATTATTCTTTGGTCTGTTACTAATAAATTATACAATTACATATTATAAATTTCTAAATAATATGGTGCATTCCATTATTAACTTCATCTAGTCCATCTAGTACATAAATAAAGACACTATAATAATTTTTTATACTTATTATTTTATACTTACGATTTAGTCTAAGAAAAGAATTGTGGTTAGAGTTTGTGGAAAAAGACTTAAAGAACAAGCTTCTCTATGGAAATTTTAAATTAGCAGAAGAACGTTCGTGATTAATTAATATAAAAAGTAACCTTGTAAATTTTATCATCGAACAAAAATACGCCCTGTATTCATGTAGGATTTAAAAAATATACCAATTTTAACATAACGTATTAAATGTCGTTATTCCATCAGATAGGGAGAAATTTTGAATTTTATTTGTGTATCAATTTTATATGCAAGTGAAACTTTCTATGTTGCTATAACAACGTACGTCAAAACATTTTCATAACCTATCCAAGTACTGAATGACATACAAAATATATTTGTACCACTGTGCACTTGTTATAATACATAAAATATTTGTTCGAAAACTTTGAATCAAAAATAAAATGGCAGATCAAAATTCGTATGTATCTATTAACATGTATTTACACTGTAATCTGTCTCTTACACAAACTTGTAATATTTTAATTACCTTTTCCTTAAATCGGATATTTTGTACATTTAAGAGCATTGATAAAATTATATACATAAATATTACGTAATTTTGTTTTAGCGAGCAAAATGTTAGAGATATTGCTTTGCGTCTCTGTTTACAAGAAGAGCAAGAACGTAAAACTAATCCAAACGAAACGCATGAACGTTCAATTATCATCGTTGGTAGTAAGAGAGTCGTACGTAACATATTAACCAAAGCTATTAAATAATGATCTAATGCAAATTACATACTTATAATTATGAAGAAGGAATATGCGTTCTTAGGGTAAAACTACAATGGTACATCGATTTCTTGAAAAAGATGAAACACCGAAACCAACTATCGCGATAGATTATTCTTTTGGACGTAAAGCTGGAAAGAGTTTAGTAAGTTTTCATTTATTTATGATTATAATTGTATTATTCAAACAATAAATAAGTATAAAATTAAGTATGACAATTTTGTGTAATTTTTAACAAAGATTACATAAGATTAATTGATCTTGAAAAACGTAAATAAAATGTATACCGTTCGTGTACAAATATTTTGTTTAATAATTAAAATAACGATTATTAAGAGAACATACTTGAAACATATTAAAATAAAGAGAAAAAAAATATATGTTATTAGGTAGTTATGTACGTGCGTTGTAATAAAAGATATTTAACTTTATTTCTATTTGATTTCCATTATCGACGCAGATAAAAAATATCGTGCACGTTTGGGAAGTAGGACATTTAACTTCTTCGTTAGTATCAGCCGCAATGGCAGGTTCATCTTTGACTCATTCTCCTCATCACGTCACGGTATTGATTATATTGGATTTATCACAACCAGACATTTTATGGACCACGTTCGAAGAAGCTCTCTCGGTAGTTCGAAATGCAATGAAAATGAGTTACAGCGATAAAATGATTCAGGAATTAAAGCAACAGCGTATTAAAGAACGGAAGGGAACATTGGAACAAGAGGTCGATCCGTTTCCAATGAAACTTTGCCTTGTTGGTGGAAAATATGATCAGTTTAAGGTATCTCAAGCATATTTTCCAATATAAAGACATATTGTCGCAAACATAAACCTATCCTATCGTATCATTATGAAATTATAAATTATTCGACGATTGTAAAATAGGATTTAGATTTGGATAAAGTAAAGCTAATCGGGAAAACACTACGAGCTGTGGCTCACATTTTAGGAGCTGGACTCTATTATCATTCCGCAAAAGATAAGTCTTTACTACGAAGAACTAAAGACTTGCTATCTCACTATGGATTCGGTACTCAATTTTCGTAAGTTTCTAGTACATCGAAATAATAGTTGTGATACTTCATTGATATTTCAAAATTTTTATATTGAATCGACATAATTTTCCCTTTTTTTTTTTTTTTTTTTTTTTTTGAAAATTACAAATTAGCGATATCAAGTGCATAGATGTTGAAAAGCCATTAGCGATATCTGCCGGTGCAGATTCCTTCTTGTCGATCGATCTGCAATTTCCCCAGACCAGGCCTTCGGCTATCTTAGATACCATCAAACAGATTTACGTTACTCGTATACCGCAAGAGTCAAGAAGCAACGAAATTATTCTGGAGGATCCAAGTAATGATCCCAACTTTAACGAACCGATCATCGACAGATTACGGGCTCAACGAGAAGAGGTACCACAAGTAATTTAATTTACACCTTGGAAAGAACAAAATAATTTATTTTCCTTTAATTTCTAACTTTAACATTTTAAACGGACTGATAATTTTTAGCTTTTAGTTTACTTTTGTTGATGTTATTTATCTCAGAAAATACAAATGATAAAAAGTAACTTCTTTGTAGGAAATTAGTATTTTACTCCACGATATGTTGGAAGGCCAGATACCTCAAATTCTCATTCCGGATCCATCGTAGAGATTGTTCTCCTACATGGATTTATCTATCAGGAATAAATTCCCTAACAATACATGTCGCACACTTGATCTTATCTACGATGATTGAAAGAAACTCCCGACAAGCAAGAAGCTCCAGTTAATTTGTATTTAACTCGAAAAGATTACTGTACGTTCACATTTACATACAGGTATATGAAATTTGCAAAATCACGATTCCAGGTATCGTCCCCTCTGGTTCGCGTGTTTAAACTATGCTAATAGAAGCACTGCTGCTTACAGCGATAAGGAGATAAAGTGTATCTATCATTTGTAGAATAGAAAGAAAGAAAAAAAAAAAAAATTATATAACTATAAAATTACATGATTTTACAGATTTGTTTTTTACGATCGAGATACTCGGAGTGCCATTTGTATAAAGATATCAATCTTCAAGAGAACTTGTCAGACTTGATAACGTCGTCGTTTCTTACTTACATCTGAAACACTGAAACATAGAACGAGCAAGGTCTGTCGTTTAAATACGATTTCGATCCTCCGTGAAAGGTGAAACAACGCGTCTGTTTCCGTGTCATTGCGCACGCGTCTGTTGTCTCGCCCTTTCCCCGGCACCGCACCGATTTACCGTGAAATCGAAGGGGTTACACACCAAGAACGAGAGCGTGGCGCAATGGTGGGGAGAGTGTGGTCGCACACGGCTGTGAATTCCTAGCGGGAGTAGACCAGTGCGCTGATAAGAGCAGCGGCGGCGAACGATGACGCGTGCGCGTTACGGTGAGATGCGCATGCGCCCGGATGTGGACGGCTCGCTGCCGATACGCGGATAGTCGGAGTCGAGAGTTTACGAAAACGGGATCCGGCTGGGGGGGTTTTCGCTGTGTCGCGGGCCTCTCTCGCTTTCTGGCCTCGGTTTCCTCAGTGAAAATGCCGCTGTGATAGAGGCGCGCGGTGCCGTGTGCTCTGTCCGGGCTTGTCGCGCCCCTGCAACGAGCCAACAGTCAACTGACAACCACGCAGAATTTTCACTGCGCTAGTTGGTGGTTCCCACCAACTCGCGGCTTATCAGCGACTTTCCTTTCTCCCCAGCGCTGTCTCTTTCTCTTTCCTTCTTTTCTCCCAACTCTCCTCTTTCTCCATCCTTCTCGTTGTACGCGCTTTTCTCTCCCTATCGTGCGTGTGTGCCTCTGTTCCCCTTGTACCTTGGCGGAACACGACGCGAAACATCGTCGAGATTTGACACTGGGGGAATCTGTGTCGGTGTGTCGAAGTGCCGAAGCGCGAGTTTCGTAATCGTCTGCTGATCGGACGTTGCATCGGCGATTCGAACAGGTGAGTGGAATAAAGCACGATCGAGGCCGAGTGGTCTCCTCACCGATTGGCTCCTCCCGGTTCCCAGTGGTCGTTAATTGTCGCACCTATCGTCGCGAATCGGCCCTCGGCGGCAATCTCGCGGTAATTGTGTCGAATCGATAAAAGCAAGAATCGACTTGGCTTCTCGGCGCGACCGACACACAACGTCCCGGCGTTGTATATCGCGGATCGTAGACCGCCCTCTTCTGCGACTGCTTCTCGCGGTTATCGATTCCGGTGTAAACGCGCCCTATCTAGACAGAGTTATCTGCTCGCTATTCTTCCGCGAATCTTTCTTACTTGCAGGATTCCATTTTTCAATGGTTTTCGCATCGGACCGTATTATCACTGGCTGATGGGGCCAATTATCGAGGATGTCTAAATAAATTTCATTTTCTCGCCGATACATATGTATACATAACATCGACAGATTTATTTCACGCACGTAGTGTCAACGACTAATTAACTTGACACCATGTTTGAACCTCGTTCTAGGAATTTCTACTAAATCAACGCACGTCAAATGATATTCTCAAGTGATGGAGAATGTCATTCATTTACTTGAATTCGTCGAACAGAAACGAACGATTTCTTTCCAAACTAAGTTCGTCAATTGTTGCTATCGTTGACTAACACCTCCGTTTGAATGGACAGATATTTTATATCGTAAATATCACTTTGCGCAGCAAATGGCTTTCTTTCGTCGTTTGCATGCGCGTGCATGCGGAGAAAGCCTAAGGCGCTTCTCAAGTCGCGTTCGCGGACGCGTGTCAACAGTTGGAGCGTGATTTTGATACCGCGGTTCACGGCAGGTAAATCATTGCTGTTGGCCTCGTGTTGTTCGACGAATTCGTTCGTTTTCGAGGGCCTCGAGCATGCTTGTCTGCGGCATGTTGATCGATCACTTCGTTGTATTTGTGATTCGATGACTTGTACAGAGATAGAACGGATTTAGTTTGTTTATAGGAACATACATAGGCACTTACATGAGAAATTGTAGATGTACATACGTCTAGTATCAGAAATATTTATAAATATTTTTATTAGACATTTAACACTAAACGTACCGATATTTTACATATCATTATACCTATCTTACCATAAGGGGTCAAATGGCCCCTCGCGGTATATAAGGTA